TGAAGGGCTGTATGACGAGAAGTGTTGAAGTCAGCATGTTTTCTTACAGTAACCTTGGAATTTTGTTCTTTGGCCTCTTCCTTAGCATTAATGAGTCTGATGAGAAGAAAAATAAAGATAAGTGAAGTGAAAGTGTCTTGCTGTTACGGAGTTTTATCTAAGAAACTCCAAGCCAGTTTGATCTCCTGATTGTCCTGCTTTGTCCTAGGGACACCTGTCCATAGCAGGTATAATGTCCTCTACTGGCAGCACTCATTTTTGGCACAGAGGCTTTGTGTGCTTCCTGGTGCTCAGCTAGAGAAACAAATTTACAGTGCAGAGACTTTTCCCTCAAGACTCTGAGTACTTCTCAGCTGTGCTCAGCTGTTCCCTAGAGTCAGGGACATCCTTCTGAGATGGTTTGACTCTTGGGTCAGGGAATTCAGCTGCTGATCTTTCTGTAAATGTTGGACCCTATTAAATGCCATCACAGATTCTTAAGGCTTTGATTTTTGAGCCAGAAAATAATATATTTCTGTAATAATTAGGGAATTTTGTTTGAGAAGGCTTTTGGCAATCACCTTTGAATGCTGCATTTTCTCAGATACAGCTGTCTACTTTAGGTTCTGTCATCGGCTGTATCTCGGCTTAGGCTATAGCTTAGCTTTGATGATGGAAAAGTTGACTGTTAGCCTCTAAAATTACCTTTTTTTACCCTGCTGTCTCTTAGAATTGACCAGAAATAATAGGTTCCAGATGGGTGAAACAAACTACAGCATGCCTGCTCCAGCCTTTCATTTATGTTTTGATTACAGTTAATTCTGGAAAGATTAGCCAAAATGCGTAGGAACATTTGCAGTCTCACTCATGTGGTCTTCCTTTATTCTGTCCAGGAGTCTTTTTGGCCTTGGTACTGGCTACGTATTGTTGCAGCTAGGTATCAATAGAAGATTTTTTTAAATTGCTTTAGGGAGATTGATTCTTTCCTTGTGGGCTTGGTTGTGATTTGCAGTGATTGTAGATTGTATACAGTCACTAGGTAGCATTTTATGTGTCTGATGGTGCTTCCATGGTGTTGGATGGTCAGAAGGCTTTCAAGCATGGCCCTTTACTGACTCATGTGAAGTGACAATTTGGTATTTGTTGGTCTCCTCAATTTATTACCAGAATGGATGCTGCTTGTCTCTGTACCTGGATAGAGGATGCCCATATATAGGTGTCAGTACTCCTTGTGGACTTTATTAGTTATTATTAGGACTGATTCTGAGTTAGCATTTCAAATAAGATTCATTTTGAGGAACACAGCGATTGCTGGAAGGCTAACCTTTCATGGTGTTTTGGATCAGTGTCTTGCCCTTCATGACAATTTATGTCCTTTGCAGAGGCATCCGGGGTAGAACTATTTTTACCAGGTGCCACCTGGTACCATTTTTTAAATGGTGTTGTGGTTCCACCTCTCTGTTGAAGTGTGTTTAGATTCCTACTCATGTTTTAGGTGTTTTCCAGCTTAAAACAAACAAAAAATGTTTTCATCCTGGGCACTTGATGAGTGCTCCATTTGGATCATCTAATACTGCACTGACACAGAACCATTCAAAAATTACATTTGCTTTCAGTGAAGTTTTTCCACAATACAGTTGCTTGTCTGAGGGATTTAAAAACCTGTCTTCAGGCAGTTGAAGAAGTGCATGCAGTACCTCACATGTCCACAGAGTTCAACTGCATGTATGGACAGTTTGCTTGAACGCTTATGGAGGTGTCAGCTGTGTTAGAGGATTACTTCTCACCTGTTTTCTCTTTTTTATCCTGAGTTGAGATTACAGATTGAGAGAAATAAGGAGAAGAAGGCATGTGCTTTGGCTTGTGTTGGAATAGAGTGAGGTGTTTGGGCAGCAGTGCTTCACATGGTTCTTGTCAGAGCAAAAACAATGTTGAGTCTTGGCTGTTTGATGCACAATCATCCAAAGTGTGAATTTGCTTACAAACTGCACCATGAGGAAGTCCAGTTGCTGTTAAGCAGCAACAGTTTTGTGCTTTCAGTAGTAGCCATTCTTAAGTACAGGTCACAGGTCGATCTTTTGAATCACATATTTGTGTACAATTCACTACATGAAAAAATGTCTTCTGAATTAATGCTAATTATTGTTATTTTTCTAGGTAACTTGGGAGATCGGGCATGTCTTAGCTGTACATCCCTGAGGCTAGCAAACAAAATGTGAGTAAATATGATCTTTTTTTCTAAACTCAAAACTGTACAAACCCATCAGGCAGTTTACTACCGTAGAATGTAGGTTTAAATCTTCTAGACAAAGTGTGAAAATAAAGCTTCAGCCTGTGTTACTGACAGATTAAAGGAAGCCTGTGTCTTACGCTTTTCACCTGCCTGATTGTGTGTGGGAGAAGGAAAGTGAGATCTTCCTTTTTTCGCCCACCTCCCCCTTTTTGTTTCACTTACGATGTGAAAGCAATAGAATATTCATCTTGTTCTTGAGTGATTCCAGGTGACTTCTAGCATACTTCCTCTGGGAGTTTCACAGTCAGATGTAGTGTGAAAAACATAACTGACAGTTAAGAATGTAGATCATTTGAGTTGTATCTTTATTAAACCAAAGTAGTTCGCTGTACATTACAGCCCTGGAGATGATGTGCTCTTTCGAAAATGAATCCAGCTGCTGTGTGCGCTTATGGAACTTAGGGTTGGATGTTGGCAGAATCTGTTTTCTGTTCCTGTCTTGACTCACAAGGCATACTTGTGGCTATGAATTTCCTAACGCCTTTCCTTGGAATGTTAAAATACGTATTCTCTAGTTTATTACAGTCTAACTGCTCAGGAAACAGCGGCTGTTCTTTAGTTTCCTAAGTTTCCATTTTAACATAAGTATGTGCCTCTAGACTTAACCCTCTGATGTGAAACATAAAGTAATTCCTTTCTTTTTTGGTCATGTTAGTTCTATATCACTTTATTATTAGTTATGAGAGTTGTTTTTCATACATAAAGCATGTTCAAATATCTGTTTGCTTTTTAGTAGATCATTGTATGGGGCTTTCTTATGGAAAAATGAAAACTTAAAGATTTAAGTCTGTTACATGAACAGCAGACTACTGGGACAGAAATTCTTGTTAGTTTTTGAGATTAATTTTTTTTGGACCAAAAGCTGTTCATGTGATGTTGCTGCTTAAAATAAAACAAACTAGCGCCCACACAACCGCGATCCAAAAGCAAGGGACTCTGGTGATACAAGTACTGAGGGCAGCTTGGGATGGAAGTTCTGTGTTTGACATCCTGCTGGTGGAAGTGTGTTCAGAGAGCCACATTTCTTGTGAAAATATGTTTCCTTGCAGACTCAGAACCAGCTCTGCTGGCTGAGCTCCTTTCATTTCTACATGCAGAAAAATGTAGATATATGGAGGTGGAACTTGGTCTGTAGGCCTGGAGCTGTGCTTTTGGGAAATGACTTAGAGTTAGGATGGGTTGATTTATGCAGGTGTTTTAATCTGGTTTTGAATATGTACTTTATTTTCTTAAAGAAACTGTAGTTCTCATTAGTTAATGTCTGTGCAAGTGTGTAGTTTTCCAGCAGATCAAGAAGATGTTTGGTGTAGCCGTGTATGTTTCAGTAGTTGTCTGATGAGGGAATCGTCAGATGCTTAAAATTGTAGTTTAGGGTAGAAAATAAGCATGGTTCTTTAAATAATGATAATTTAGTCAGGTTTTGGTACAGCTCTGTTTGAATAACATTAAATGTATAATACCATTAAAGGAATTTAAAAATCATTGGATCCATGTGATAATTAAGTTTATAAAGAACTTCTAGCTGAAGATTGAGTGAGGCTAATAATTTTAATTGTACAATAAACTTTTTTTTTCCTTAAAGTGTTACTCAGAGCCGTAGAGCCACTTGCACCCATTTTCTGTTCATTGACTGGAGACAAACAGACATTCAGATTTTGTTTGGTAGTACAAGGGCTCAGTGAAGAAACACCCCAGTCATTTCTGTCCCGTAGATGACTTCATGCTGGCATTTCAGTTTGAGGGACACCCAATGGAACTCATTTATATAAAATATTTTATCTACTATTTTACATTTTTCATATCTTTTTGTAGAAGTGTGTACAATCCTACTGTAATGAGTTGTTCTTCTGTGTCTATAATAAATATTTGAGGTGTTTGAGCAGTGCTTTCCTTCTCTAGTTTACAGTCAACTAAAGACAAAGAACAAAATTCTGAATGAGGTAGGAGAGAGTGGGTTCTGCGTACCCCAGCTCAGTATCATGATGGAAGTTTGTGCACAAAGTATCTGCTGAAAAAGGAAAACTGGATACATGAAGATAGTGAAAGAGGAACACTAATAAAATCAGATTTCTCTGATACCATTTCTCTTCCTGAACAGACCTATCCCAAGTCTACACCTTGTATACTTCTTTTGAGTGTTTTGGTGAAACAGGAGAAGCAATTGAAGGGGCTTTATGTTACTTATGGATTTACATCTGTGTTTTCAAATGTAGCTAAATGGAAAGTACTTCTAATTGCTACATGTATTTAATTGGAGTAAAATAAACTACCTTTTCAAAGCTGTTTAATGGAAAATTCCCTGCAGGTTATTTTTTGTCATGAAGTAAAGCCAAACATTTTTTTTCAGGTATAGACATCCTGATCTTGAGAATCACAGGTTTGGGGTTTTTTCTTAAATACACAGTATTTCTCAAGTGATGCATTTTATAAATAAATAGATTTATATAACTATCCAAATGTATATAAATATATAGACAGCTTATGATCTATTGCTAATTCTTGAATGCTTTTTTTTTATTTAAGGACTGTACACTTTAAATATTGCACTAGTGTCCCTCCTGTTTACGCATACTCCAAAAGAGGTCGCTACTGTTGTTGGACTAAAGGATCTGAACAGATATACTTTGCTCTTACGAGCTCTCCTGGCTCATGGACGCCGCTAGCAACCATGGGTGTTTTAGGTCCCCAGTATCTTCCAGTTAGATGGTGGCATTCTTCACATCCCCTTCAAGATGACTCCATCGTTGAAAAGTCACTGAAGTCCTTAAAGGACAAAAACAAGAAGTTGGAAGAAGGAGGTCCTGTATATAGTCCAACAGAAGTGGAAGTTGTGAAAAAGTCTCTTGGACAGAGAGTTGTGGATGAACTGAAACACTATTACCATGGGTTTCGATTACTGTGGATTGACACAAAAATAGCTGCAAGGATGCTCTGGCGAATACTTCATGGAAACACTTTGTCTCGTCGAGAGCGGAGACAGGTACTGAGTAAATACCAATTTTGTTTGAGTATCTTTAGTGATTGCTTCATTTTATTTGAACTGAGTTGGTTCTTTCTGTTGTCTTCTGTTCCTAGTATTAAATTTCCTAGGTGCATTTCTCTCTCCCTCCCTATACAGACACTAAAACTTTGTATTTGATGCCACACCATTACAGTCATATTCCCCATTATTGTTCTATGAACCTGCCATTAGAATAATAAAGTATTCTTTTTAGAAGTGTGGCTGTCCTGTTTGTAAATTGCACAAAATCATAAATATTTCTGTGCCTTCTAGTCAACTTTTTAAAAATTGAAGATAAATGTGATATTTTCTAGCTGGAAAAGCAGAGGTTTCTGCTGTTTTGTCATGTGGACAGCAGTAGTGGTTTGTTCCCAGGTTCCCATCCATGTGCTGCATGTGTGTACGTGGTCACTTTTTCTGCTTTTTTCACTCCAGCTGGAGAAGTGGCGGGAAAGCACTGCTAGTAAAGGTTGGATTTGTGCCAATTCAGTTAGGTTTTTTGTTGTTTTGTTGGTTTTTTTCCCTAACAGAAGAAAAGCTGCGAGCTGAAATGCATGATTGATGATCTGATATTAGTACTCAGTTATAAATGTATTTGTGAGATATTTTTAGTCCAAAGAAGATAATTTGAGGAAAGTTTCTGTTAAATATTTTTATGTATTTTTGTTTTTCTATATGGCATATAGCTTACGTTTTATTAAACTATAAATTAGCAACTGATAATTTTAAAGAAAAGGGAAGAGGGGATGGAGATGAAATCTGGAGTGCGGAATGAGAGTGCTTTCAAATTAGGGTGGTATCCACGCATTTCAATAGTAATTTCAGTTTGTGGATGAAGAAAATATGCTTATTCAATAGAATTAAAAGTTGTGTGGATATTTAAAAACATGAGCTCTTATATATGGAAAGACTACAAAATAATAAGCTGTTTTAAAACGGTAGTATACAGTAACAGGTATAGCTAAAAATATATATACATATTTTAAAAGAATGCATTGGTGTCCAACTTCACCAGTTCATTAACAATATATCGAACATGCTGATTTAATAGCTCTTATTTTATTGTTTTTAAAGATGAGATGTTTATGTAGTTTATATGGGTATATTCAAGCCTGTCTTCCTGCCTTTAAAAGAAAAATAAAGCAAAAAAAAAACCCACCACCGCCACCACAAAACCAAAACCCAACCAAAGCCATTTCAGCTGTTGCTGAAAAAAATGTGCTGGAAGAAATGTTGGAGAGTGAAAAGTGTCTGTACTCTGGCAGCTGGAGTCAATAGTGCTGGGTCAGGTTGTACACTGCAGTTTGTACAGTGTACATGCGATGTGTTAGGTTCACACCTCTGCCTTCAAAAATTTTGTTGAATGATCAAAAATACTGATATTTGCTCAGTTTTAATAATTTCCCGATTAAATTAAGTACATAGTTGAACATTTTCACGTATAATTAAAACCCAACACGTCTTAATGCAGTGTGCAAAAGGCTTTTCTGCTGTATTCACAAGATTAGACAAATAACAAAAATTGTTACACGCACATGTAGTAGTTTTCAACTGTGATTACGTCTGGTCTCTTTCTACAACAGCACTGATTGATGGTATTTGGTCTCTGCATCTTCATGCTACTTATTTTTGCCCTCTTCCTTCTGCTGGTCCAAGAGTATGTTTGGCAGCTGCTGCTCAGCAATAAATATAACAGTCTGTGCTGACACGGGACAGGGGATTAAGTAGTGCCAGGAAAGAGTAACTGAGGACAAGGGGGAATGAGGACCACAGCACTTCTGGAAGTAGCAGCGCTGGCTTGTGCAAGCTTTGGAAAACTTGGAAAACCAAGTGAGACAAATTAATTCATGGTTTGAAACAGAATCAGAAATTCTCCAGAGGGCAAGGCTGGAACCATTGGTTTTCCTGCCTCTGGTGCATGCTCACTGAGCCATACTTCTGAGAAATTATATAAACAACAGTAAATGTGAATGCCATGGAAATATTTCTGCTGAAAGAGCAGGACTGTGTTCTAGAAGGCGTGAACCTTTAGAAGTAATATGGTATTTTTGGGTACACGTGTTATTCATCAATTGATGGATTCATTAATTTCATTGCCCTTAAGTTTCGTTATCCTGTGAAGATAGAGCTGTCTTTCTCATATTTATATAGTAGTCTGGCATTTGACCTTCCTTGTTTTTTTTTTTTGTGCAGATGTGCAATTTCAGTATCAATTCCCTTACTTTAAATGAAATAGAAATTTATTGTACAGGTTTAAATTACTATTTACATTGCTGTAGCCTGTCTGTTCTCTCATGATGCGTGTGTGCGCCTGTATGTGTGCAATCCAGTGTAAAAGAGTCAAAGAAAATAGTTTTAAGGACTACGGTAATGTTATTTTTTCAATGTAGGTTTTGTGTTTTCTTTATGTGGAGGTAAAGGACATCCTGTCTCTTGAGTGGAGTCACAGTAGGCTTAGAACCCAGGGTCAGTGAAAAGCAAACTAGCCCATAGCTGAAAAAATGGTGCTTTTTTAAAACCTTATTTTAACTTTGTTTCAGCACCGTTTATTTTTTATCAGTTCAGCCTTAAGTTGTAATATACTGGCTGATTTAAAGAAGTCTTAAAAATCTGATGACCAATTAGCTGCAACTTTGCAAAAGTTGCTCCGGCACTTAAAAAAAATGAAGTATGTACTGCTTTAAATGCATTGAACTGCGTATGAACTGCCATTCCTAGAGACATCTTATCTTCAGGCAGACTGACAAATGAGTTATTTCTGCCTGCCCTTTCCTTCCTCTTTGGAGGCAATAATGGAAAGTTATCGAGTGATCTAACCACGTTAACAAGCAATTGCAGCATGGCTAAGGCAAGGGAGCTATTGCTTATGTAAACCAAAAGTCGGTTTCAAAATTCTGCTTGTTCAGATGGGGTTTGGACTCTACAGGGTCACTTACCTGCACTGAGGAGAGAAACCAGGAAGAAGTATAGCATGTAAAATACGATTCTAGCATTTAAAAATTAATTGCTGTAGCGCTGCTTCTTACAGCAGGACGGTCTGAGATGGCAAGCGCTATGGAGTTTGTGGCAAGTTAAATCAGCTTTACCAGCCCTTCAGCCCTGCAGAGGAGGGAAACGTGGAAAACATGAGTTGTAGCAGCAGATACAGTGTGGTCACAAGTTTTTCGTGCTGTGCTGCCAAATACTGGGTGTGTAATCATGCACCATTGTATTGGGTTCCTGTGCAAAGTTTTCCTTGAGTGAGAGGAGGGTGCAGTTTCATGGTTATGTAAAGTGACCTGGCACATTGCTGCTACTAAAAAGGCCGGTCCTGCTCCGTGCTCAAATCACGGTTTCCAACACCTCCCCTTTTGGTTTGGACTGATCCTTTTGTATTTATGGGTTAGCTTTAGCTGGATCAGGGTGTACCTTCACGTTGTGACTGCTAGTGCCCGTTCGTGACTCTTCATACGTTATGTCAGGTTAGCATTAGGTTAGCTTAATCCAGTTGTAAAACTGCTTCCTTAGATACCGATTTTGCCTTGTACAAATACTTGCACACACTGTCTCAAAATAGATACTGGGTAGAAATAAGAGCTCTGTATTGCTCTCCAGAAGTTTCTGAGTGTTTTTTGTTTTGGCTTGTTTTGTTGGGTTTTTTTTTTTAGGGAAAATATACTTGGTTTTGTGTCTTAAAAATTTTCTTCTGAACTTTCTTGCATATTTTTGAACTCTCTGGTAGTCATTTATCTTCTATTGTGATGAATGAAAACGTCTTTGAGCCTGTGAACAATGGACCAAAGCATCCCTTCTGGGAAACTGCATTTTTTGTATACAAAGGAAAATGTCGAACTTTAGATCTGTGGAGTTTGTGCATTCCTCAAACTGTATTTAAGATTTTGTCTGGTTTTATGCTAAGAAAATTATGGTTGAAGTTATACTGGTTCTGTATTCTAGCAAAGCAGTCCTAGTGACTTGCAATCTGTACTGGTTGTTCCTGCTCTTCCCTTGTATTGGGGAGGAGATAGAAAGGAAAGCACGCGTTTCCTTGTGCAATAGCATTTATGTTGCCAGTTTTTGCCAACCATAGCTGTGTTTAACAAATCATTGTGTTGAATGGCAGTACTGTACTGTAATGTACGTCTGACCTTCAGTCTTGGATTTAGGAACTGACGTTATTTCCAATAACCGGTTAGTAGCTTTGTAAAATGAGGTAGAGCCAAGCAAGATCTGCACTCTCCAGTATAAATCAAGTTATTAAGCTTCTAACAAGTACTTGAAGATTTTACTATAGATGGTACAGCCTAATAATATATTTCTGGGTGTACAGAAATCAGAAGGTCAGTGTTTATTTTATACAGTTCAAGATTCGGTAACCAATGCATTGGCCTGCTTCAGAGGATTTACTGCTCCAGAAAAGCAGTGATTAAAGAAAAAAAAGAATTTTCCAAGCTGGGCTCATTACCCTGGATTTACATGTACATTACAATTGTTATAAGGCAGAGGGGGAGGGATCCTTCATTTTGTTCTTGATTACTTAGTCCATAGTAGTTCATGCATGTAAGAAGTAGTGGGACACAAATAAAGATGAATAAAAGAAGTTAAGCAGCTTTAACGACAACAAATGACCACCTCCTGTTTTCAGGTGCTTTTAAGAGGTTTAAATGAGATACTTGTTCAATAATCCTATTGAGACACAGTGAGGCTTTTGAAATACTTTCTGTGGTGTTGAAAACTGGTGAAACTCTGGCACTCTGTAGTATATAGCAACTAAAAGAAAAAGATGCTAAAATTTGACTTTGTCACATCCCTTTTTGGTGTTATTTTAAACTTCCTTTGTAGCAAATATCTATATGTGAGCTTAAGTGATAATGTGGATTATTATATCAAGTATTTTAAAAATGTTTAAATTTTACTTATCAATACTTTTTTTTAAATGTCTTCCTTCTAGTTTCTTCGAATATGTGCCGATCTATTCCGCTTGGTCCCTTTCCTAGTTTTTCTTGTTGTCCCATTTATGGAATTTTTGCTTCCAGTAGCTCTGAAGTTGTTCCCTAATATGCTTCCCTCTACATTTGAGACAAAGTCTAAAAAGGTAAGCAGGTCTGAATTTATAATCCAGTAATACGTTTTGAAAAGAATTCAGAAAAGAAAAAGAAAAAGAAATCAGAAAAATTCTAAAAATGGGATTTAGTTTTTTTAATTTTTATGTTGTTTTGATGATCTTGCTGTTAAGATACAGTAATGAACCAGTGCCACCATCCTGGTTTACCTTTTTATATGTGCAGCTGCTTAGCTATCAGGGCTGTAAGCTTCTCTTGTCTTTTTTGCTGTCCTCATCTCCATTTTCTATGACTCTTACAAAGCAGAAGTGGCAGCTATGAAACTTTATTCTTCTAGTTTTTATTAAAGTAGGCAGACTTTGTTTTAACATTTGTAATCCTTAACCTTGGCGCAAGGTTTTTTTTGTGTGCGCGCTTAATATTTAAAATAGCTTCTTCTGCATTGGTTTGTTTAAACTTTATTTTTTTTAGTTAAGTTTGCTTGGAGTTGTTTAGAGATTTGTCAAAACACACCAAAAACGCTCACAAGTTCACACTTTCAGAGCACAAAAGACGTATATGAGGTTCATACATAGTGAGCTCCCAGTCAGTCACAGATAGAATCAGTTATTTAGATAAAATCATGGGTGTATGCTTGGATCTAGCTAAGCATTGATTTCTAATTCTGTGGTAAATTCCTCTTTGGATGAGATGAGGTCTTTGGTCAGAGTGAATGTCCTCTCGTGATGTGTGTTACAGCAGAAGTTCAGAAGTGCTTGTCTGAGGGCAGAAGAAATGGTTTGTAGGGTGCATATTTCTGGAAAGAACTTTTAAAACCAAATGTTTTTTTTTAACAGGAGGAAAGATTGAAGAAAGAATTGAGAGTAAAGCTGGAATTGGCTAAATTCCTTCAAGACACAATTGAGGAGATGGCCTTAAAAAATAAAGCAGCCAAAGGAAATGTTACAAAAGATTTTTCAACGTTCTTTCAAAAGGTAAAAATTTTTTAAAATGTATTTTCTCTTCCTACCAAAGAATAGCTTGGTGTTTGGTCCGTGGTAGTCGTCAGCTACCTTTGTTCTGTTGGATTCGAAGGAGCAGGATGTAATTGTGTTCTTAGGATATTTTTTTGCAAGTAATTCTTAAGTGTGCTGAGGTTTTACTGTTTTTAGCTTTGGTGTTGTAGCTGGTACGTTCCTTCCGACTCTAGAAGCAGTGCATTTCTGCTCATTCACATCTTGTTCTCTTATTTTGTTAGTAAGTTAATTCAAACATCAAAAAATTACGCACAGTGATTACTCATGCAGTTTTCGATCTCTTTTTTGAACATTGGGTGCAAAAAGTGGGAGAAAGGAGTTCTTTGCGAATTAACTGATTAAAACTTAGTGAAGGGAAAAGTAGATTTATTTTATTTATTTTTTTTTAGTCAAACGTATATCTGCTTATAAAACCAGTTTTAAATGCAGGGTTGCTGTGCTGCTAAAATCCTTTCAAACACTGACTAAGAACGTGCTATAATGTGGGGTTTTCCTAGAAGGAGAGTGCTGTGTTTGGTACAGGTATTTCCTTGTCACAAGCAGTTGCTGACACAGAGACTAAATGTCAGATATCTGCCTCCTGCACTGATGGCCTTTAGGTGTTACAGTGTTTCCTTTCACCAAGTTGTAGGTAAGGGTAAGGTATTCTCTGAAGAGATGAAAAATACCTTCTTAAATCTCTTCAGGACAGTACTTATTCTAATTTCTCTAATTGTAGGGCTCTTGAAAACAATCATCTGCTGCCAAGGTGTTGGTTGGTTGGTTGGGGTTTTTTTTGCAAGTAAATGTGTAGTCCCCTCCTTATGGGAAAGTATCTGTTAGCACAGAAAAAGGCACATAAGCCTGAGTATTTCAGACCTGAACTTTACAAGCCCTGTCAGCTAGTGTGAGCTCTTCCTGCTTTTCAGTGTTGAGAATAAAGTCTTAAAGGGTGGTGTAGTAAGATCATGTCCCTAGTGCTGAGTAGGTTACCTCAGATGTTGATATTGGCAAGTTTTGCCAGTTGGTGTCTGCTTGCAAAGTCTTACATTGAAGCTTCTCTGCAATCATCTGTTTCTGTTCTTTGCCATCTGCAGAAAATTGTAAGTGGTTAGTTGTAGCAGTTAGTAGCTGAAGCACTGATGCTGCAGACTCTGGGAGCGTGCCGCTGCCATGCTTCATGTTTGGAACATTGCATTTTCTTCTGAAAGAACTGCTACTGAGAATTTACATTTGGCGGTTATTTTCTGTGGAAAGAAATGACGTATCACTCCACATTTGCTGGAGGAAGTCCCAGGTTCCTCTGATGACTAAAAAGAAGTTTCAAGCCCTGCAGTTCTTATGTGTGGGTGTGCTTTTTATGGCTATAAATTTCTCATTTGTGCCATGGAGACAAACTTTTTGATCTCGTTTCACTGTACTAGATAATAAATGTCAGAGCAAGAAGCAGCTTAAATGTTTCCCACCTTTTTGCTATTCTTTTATAGCTGCTTCTGCAGTGAAGTATTTGGTGCTGCAAGAATCATTGGTTAGAGGTTTAACGTTTGCTGCAAGATTCCAGAATATATCTGTGTTGTGTTGTAGTTAGTGATGTACTGGAAAGTTTCGGTTTGTACTCTCAAGAAACATATGCTTGGCTCTGCCAAAATTCAGCTTTAAATGAGAAAGAAAATGCTTTCTGTATTTTTAAAGTTCCATTTTTGGCTCCTGTAGTGAAGAAGCTGGTGAAGTGGAACACTGGGGCCTTCGACCTTTCTTTCTCTGGGTTGGTGTCTCTGCTACACAAGTGTCTTGGAGGTTAATGGCCTCAAAACCATCTTGTTTTCCAAATTTTTGTCTTTTCCTATATTCAGTAGCTGTTCACTAAAAGATTTGAGTTGGCAAGTAAAACAGGTAAGCATAATAAATCAGGCTGTATAGGTAATGTTAGGTTTTCAGACTGTACTGGATGTCACTTACCACGTTTTCTTTACAGGGCTTTAAAAAAAAGAGGGATTAGAAAAAGTGGGTTTTTTATATCTACATAGTTACTGTTTAGACTGAAGGTGTTAAGTGACAGTACTTCATTGTAAATTTCTGTAGATTTTGGATTCGGTAATATCACTCATAAGCGCTTGATGTGGTATACTTAGAATAGAGAAATCAACATTTATACAGGTGATAATGCTTTACTATGACCTGATGAGACTAAGGAATATTTTTTTTGCTACTACTTTGAACTGTTATTTCTGCTTCCAGTATTTGGATTTAAATACTGTGAAGTGCCATTTGGCAACTCATGACGTAAAAGCTTAACTCTGCATTTGTGCAAGCAGTTACACAGAACCTTCCATCAAGGAGGATGCAGAGTCCTTTCCCGAGTAGTGGTTTATACTTTGGAATAACTTCAAGTACAAGTGCATTTCCATTGAGGTGCCGCAGAACAGCTAGGAACTGGCAGCAAAACAGTATTGTAACAAATGTGGTTGTGGAGAGAATGTAGGTAGGCAAGTGTCCCACATCTGCGTTTCATAGGGTCACCAGGGTTGCAGAATTTTTGCCATTGGATGTACATCTCACTTTATCTTCACAGAGTGATACTTTTAATGTGTTTTTATGTTTAGCATGTATGTGCTAGAAAGAATACTTGCTGGTATGACTTCTGTAGCAACTATTTATTTGCTCCAATATATATTTTTTGAGATATCGCATGATAGTGCTAACTCAAATAGACCTACTCATACACAGATGCATCTAACTTTTGTTTTTGTTAGTTTTATCTTAAGTAAACTATGCACTGTTGTTGGAAACTATCAACACCATCAGTTCTTTTGCCTTTTATAGTAACTAAAGTTTGGGGTTTTTTAAAATTTATTTCATGTCTCCCTTGTGTTCTATTTCCTGTTATGAAAACTGATGCAAAGTACTTGACAAATGAGGAGAATATTTTTGTTGTTCAAAATAATGCCCAACCATAACACTTGCTTTGAGAAGCTTTCTGTGTGTTTGTTTGTTTTTACAGATCAGAGAAACTGGCGAAAGACCCAGTAATGAAGAGATCTTAAGGTTCTCTAAACTGTTTGAAGATGAGTTGACCCTGGACAATCTGACCAGGCCTCAGCTGGTGGCACTTTGTAAATTGTTGGAACTTCAGTCAATTGGGACAAATAACTTCCTCCGCTTCCAGCTGACAATGAGGTTGAGAAGCATAAAAGCAGATGACAAAGTAAGTAATAATTTTGATGGGTAAGAATGTGTGTGTGTGTGTGTGTTTGTTCATAAATGTATGTATATGTGTGTGTGTATATATAGATATGTGTGTCTCCGGGCATTTTCCTTTTTTGTCTTAATTGTCTTATTTGTGAGCTAACAACGAAAAGGCTTGAAGAGCTTAAAACTGAAAGTGTCTTTTTTGTAAAGAGAAAGCTGACCTTTTTAATGTACAGTTAGTTGCAATGAATGTAGTTATGTTACAAAGAAAAGCATTTCTATGAAACTAATTTGTAAGGGAACTGATGTTAATCTTCTCGAAGTTAGTATTTCTGTTATCATTATGGAGTTGTTAAGACCCCAGTTTAATGTTCACTGTTTAAAAAGTGGAGGCTCTTTGGTGTTATCAGAGCAGCCTCTAGTGGCCGTTGTAAAAATACAGACTTCTGGGTGTGCGCTGATGACGATTCTTCAGTTTAGAGCTGTTAGATGTTAAAGTTTATTTTCTGGTTTGTGCAGCTGATTGCTGAGGAAGGAGTTGATACCCTGACTGTTAAGGAACTGCAGGCAGCTTGTCGTGCCCGGGGCATGAGAGCTCTTGGTGTCACAGAGGAGCGTCTCAAGGAACAGCTTAAGCAGGTATGTTTTTGCAAGACTGAATACACAGCTCAAACTTCAGTTGCTGGCTCTTGATTTTTCTTTATTATTCTGATGAGTCATTTTGCTTCTGTTCTCATTAAAGGCTTGGCTAACACAGTCTTTATCCTTATTAAGCTTTTGTTGTGTGTACTGTGTAAGTAGGTAGTAGCAGTGGGTTTCTGGCTTTTAACTGAACCATGATGTTTTGGTGATGCAAATAGATGCTTAGACTTAAATGTAACCAAAATATGTTTGCAATTGTGGCAGTTTGTCTTGTTAATTATTTGTATTACTCTGTAAAGAACTTTTCTCCAAGTAGATCAGTTCCTTGTCTTTTAATGTTGCCTAGTTTAGAAGAAGATGCTTGTGAAAGAAAGCATTTTTTAAAATATTCATTACGTTTTTATTTAACTACCTCTTCAAACAAAATACTACTTCATGTATTTCAGTGAAATTCCTGTAGTTCTTAGCTTCTTATAGCCTATAGTTCCTATGCTAGGGTATTGATTGGTATGTAGTGATAGGAAAAAAAATTACAATTTGCTTTTTTGTGTATGCTTGACTTGATCTGTAAAAAGAGAAAGTAATCCAAAAGTTGAAAATTTGTCTTTTGTATTGCATTTATAGTGGTTAGATCTGCACCTGAACCAGGAAATCCCCACTTCGTTGCTTATTTTATCCAGAGCCATGTATCTTCCCGATACCCTTTCTCCAGCTGATCAGCTCAAAACAACACTGCAGACACTACCAGAGAGTGTTGTAAGTATTGGTGTGCACAGTCTGTAACCAGCTGTCAGTATCATCACTGAAGATCTGTTTAGAGAAGTAGATGTTCTTAGTTCCTTTCTTTTCCTCAAAAAGCTAAACCATGGATAGGTTTATTGGAGTGACCTTCAAACACATAACTTGGCTTGTATGAGGAGCGGTCTGGGAATAAAGCAAATAGAAGGCAGTATTTAATTGTGTGATAGTAGATAGTAATAGCATAAGAAGATTTAGAATACACCTTTTTACTTATATTGCCCAGAGCCTTGTTTATTTATGTAAAAATTAACATATGGAAATATTGATGATATATAGAGAGAGAAATGAGCTGAATAGTTCTTGAGAGAGAAAGAATGAAGGACGTGTATGATTTCAAGGCAGAAAGTTCTTGTTTTCAAAGAAAGAATAATGTCTTTTTCTTATAGATTCAAAAATCTGGTAACTTTTGGGAGTTTCAACTATATTCATTAGCATACCTGTACTACCTATCTCAATAAGGATATATAAACTTCTCACGTTAGGTAGACATACATATATAAATACACACATAAAGACTTTAAGAGATGACTTACATTATTTTTAGGCCAAAGAGGCTCAAGTCAAAGTGGCAGAAGTTGAAGGTGAAAAAGTAGATAACAAAGCTCGGCTGGAAGCAACACTTCAGGAAGAGGAAGCCATCAGGAAAGAAAATGAAGAAAAGGAGATGGAAAGAATAACTGAAGCTGCAGAGAAAGCCAAAGAAACTCTTCAAGTTGCAGCCACAGTAAGTTCTGCTGTCAACTACTGAGAAATAAGTGTCAGTGATGGAAAAACTAGCATGTTACAAGTTATTACCTCTACTCTGGGTGTTGCCTGAATGAAACTGGACTTTAAATCCTCATACAGAATAGATGGGAAAATATTAAAACAGACTGCAACACAAAACAGTTCATTGTGAAACATAAAATATTGTCTTGTCTTAAATATCTTTGATTTCTCTTTCCTCTTAATTAGAGTAATAAGAGAAACCTTTTATTCCTCCTGCAGCAGTGGTGGTTTTCTTTGGTTTTTGATTCTCATACTTTAAATGTAATTGTTCTTATCTTTGGCTTTTTCTATTTGTCATTAACCTGATAATGTTATATAATATTTCACTATAAAACCTACTGCCCTGCTTTACTGGTTAATTAAGCATCAGATGCTAATAGACATAGATCATTAAGTGCAGTTGAGTATTTTTATGTGAAACCACTCAATATGTTGCAGTTTTTTAATGTCTTCTCATAAAAATGTCTGCGTCTACTTTGGCAGCTTCCTATTTTAAGAAGCCATTCTTTACTAATGCTAATACAGATAGTGTTATCTGTGTTTTAATTAAAACTTCATGGGTCTTTCGAATTTAGAAAGAGGTGGAATCAGTAGATCTTGAAGCAGCTGTTCTGCAAGATAAAAAAAGTCAGGTGGCTGTGGAAGCTGAACAGGAACTGGCAAGGGCAGATGTGGCGATGGACTCAGAGACACTGAAAGATACAGCACCAGTACTGGAAGGAGTTAAGGTAATCTGGATAACTGAATGTTTTTATACTTTTCAGTGTAAAGATTCAAAACAGCCATGGTTAAGTTTTCTGGTTCTACTTCAGTTTTAACCCTCTCACCATATTCTCTCAGTTAAAAACAGCTAATTAGTAGATTGCAAATTCTTAAGCACAAATGCAGAAATTGCTGTTGGCGCAAAAAAATCTGAGTGTCGTCTTTGATGAAATCTTTGAGGAAAATCACAAATGCATCTTTCACTAATTTGTGTATATTTTCTGTTACAGGGTGAGGAAATCACTAAGGAGGAGATTGACATGCTGAGTGATGCTTGCACCAAGCTACAGGAACAGAAAAAATCACTAACGAAGGAAAAGGAGGAGCTTGAGGAGTTGAAGGGTGATATCCAGGAGTATAATGAGGTGAAGAATGGGGCATGGAAGTTGGGATTTTTTTGCCTTTTTTTTTTCTTTTTGTGTTTAATTTTAGCTTAAGTAAAATTGAAGGTTATCTTACTTGGTTGTCTGTTAGCCTGTAGTTGGTGGCTGAGTGAATGAGCTTTGTACTGTACAATGCAGACCCTCATTTGTGTAACATTTAAAGCCCAGTTACAGGAACTACTGGAGTAGTTCCCACCAGATGAGAAAGCTGTTCCTGCTCTTACTCCCAGGGTCACTGGACTGACGGGTGCTGGCTAACTGCTGCATGCTGCAGTTCTTTCTTACCAAACATAGATGTCAGTATTACAGAAATGTAAAGTAAAATGAATCTTACCCAATCTTACAAAAGATGTAGAAAATAACATTTAAAAGGTGCATGAAAATGACTGCAACGTTAGAATTTATTGCTCTAATTCCAGTTTGGCTTTATGCATATACATTTGCATTTCATTTACAAATGGCATCTGTCTTGAAATGCTGGTCTAAGTCAGTAGTAGCTGTTGTTGAGAACTGACACCAACAAAAGCTTTTTTCTCTCTGGACCATTTCTTTCAGGATTTGCAAGAGATAAAGGAGCTCTCTAAAACTGGCCAGGAAGACATAGTGGAAGAGTCCAAGGCAAGCAAGAGATTGACCAAGAGGGTGAACCGAATGATTGGCCAGATAGACAAAATTATTAATGAATTAGAGACAAATCAGAAGACAGTGGATTTAAAACTGGACAGTGGTGATGGTCCTGCTGCTGGGTAAGTGACTTGAGAGCTCTGAATGTGTCTCTCTTTATCTTCAGTCTTACTTTTGTCTGATGTGTGATTAGAAAAGAATTAGCAAAGTTTAGAATGTTAAGATAATTTAATTAAAAAAAAAACTGCTGTAGATTTTCTTTCTTCTAAGATACATTAAATATGGTTGAAATGAATAAGGAAAAAACCAGGTATAATTCCCCAGAGGCTAGTCCTGAAGGGATTCTGAAAGTCAAAGTGTCAATTGGTGTCTTACCATCTTGTTCACACCCGTAGCACTAAACAGTGATGCAGGTGAGATCATGCCTTTAATCATGCTCCTCAGGCAGGAGGTTTGCCCTGTGTCATTGATTGAAAAGATGCACAACGGCATGGTAAGCATATTCATGTTTGTTGTTTAGAAGTGAAGATGTCAGTGAGGGAAAAAAAATCCAATAAAATCTATTCTGTCTCTGGAGAGAAACGGAGGAACAGGTCTAATGGAAGTAAGGAGATCATTTTACATGGTCTCTTTCCAAAAATTTGCTTCATCTCAACTTTGACATACTTGCAGATCTTCAAAGGAAGATCTTTCTTGATATCTTCATTGCAAAATTGAAACAGGCTGCCCAGGGAAGTTGTGGCTGCACCCTCCCTGGAGGTGTTCAAGGCCAGGTTGGATGGGGCTTTGGGCAGCCTGGTCTGGTCAGAGGTGTCTCAGCCCATGGCAGGAGTTGGACTGGATGAGCTTTAAGGTCCCTTCCAACCCAAACCATACTATGACTCTATGAAAATTAGTTTATTGACACTTCTCCAGTGGAGAGTCTTTCAGGCAATCATATGTTGAACAGCCCTGTGTTGCATATTAGAGGCACTGCAATGCCTAAAACCTGTGACTGTAATTTTCACAATTTGTGATTATGAATGCTGTGTTAACTAGCTTATGCTTGCACCATTTTGTGTGATTAAGAAAGCTTCCTAGCTCCCACACAGCATAACATAAACAGAAATAAGTATTCTGCTTTTGTTGTTTCCAGACTTACTTATTTCCAGTCCCCAGGGCAAACGGTCATTTGTTTCAAATCTTGTGTAATAAGATTAAGACCACCATATGAATGGTGCTGTAGAGAAGCTGTTCATCAAAACCATCTGAATTTGTAAATTAAAAATACAATGTAGAATCTTCTTGTACTGAATGTGACTGTACTTTATGTAATGGATGGTTTTGTGGATAATTTTATAGGTGATTTTGGATAACTGAAAATTATTAGTTGAAGTATTGCTTAATTGTCAAAAGCTTGTCTTTTAACCTTCACATTGGTGCAGTCATTACCAAGCCATCGAGAGTCATAGCAACATCACAAGTCCAGGACACTTGGTGGTAGCATGAGAAATGCTCCTTGAGCAAAAGTCAGTCTGTGCCCTGCAGTTAGGGACAGGTTGCAGAAGACAGACAGCTTCAGCTTCATGAGATCAGTAAGCAGACAGTGGAAACATCTGAAATACACTAGTCACAATGTCAAGTTTAGTCCTTCTACAAGGTCTGTTCCTTAATATGAGCAAATGGAGCCTATTTTAATGGTACAGTTAAATGTCTAAAGGGATTAGTTCTCAACTTTTGTTTTCCTGTGACTTTCGTTAATGCTATGTAGGCCAGCCTCTAAGTCTAAAAGGATGACAGGTGCATGGCACTGCATCTTTGGTAAATGCAGGAGCCTGCACAGGGCATCAGGTACACAGCTTGGGAAGCACAGAAACTGTGCTAAACTTGATTTCAAATGCTACTGTATTTGTGCAGTAAAGCACGCGGAAAACAAAACTGTGAGGTTTGGTGGTAAGATGAAGAATCATTTGAAATCTGCTTGCTGATCGTTCTTGCTTTATTGCATTCTGGTCAGGATTATTAATAATTACTGTTTTTACAAATGACCTGCAGTGTAGTGACTTGTAGTACTGCCTTTTGTCACCTTTACTCCTTTGGAGTAACTGCTTGCCATGTACAGCTTGTGCTTGCTCTTCAGGGAGAATCTCATCAGTATTGCTGAGCTGATAAATGCCATGAAACAAATTCAGAAGATTCCAGAGGAGAAGCTAACGAGGATTGCAGAGGCTCTAGATGAAAACAAGGATGGCAAAATTGATATAGATAATGTTGTTAAGGTAAGTCTGTGGAGCCATCCTTCAAACATTGTACCTGTTTTGACTTAAATTCATATTGCTGTGTTTTTCAAGAGTCTTTACTTGATGCCAGTGAGGGTTTTGGTAAAATTTGGATCTATTGAAAATAGATCTTGTAATACATGTTAGTATCTTAAGAATTTATATGGCTATTTTTTTGAGGGGAAAAAAAGAAAATCTTTATCCTGTGTGTGTTACCCGCATTACCTTGAAAGCTGTAGATTTTCCTGTATGCATATGTCAAGTTCTGTAAAATAGTAATTTTGTTCTGCTACTTCTGAATGGTTTCCCGTTCAGTGGTGAGTGGGAAGAAGCTTTGGGAATACCAGTATTAGCTAAAGTCTTGACATAATGTATATAGATATACTTTATGTCAATGTGGATAACAGATTGTCTTGCCTCCTTGTGTGCCTTAGATATTTCATTGAGATCTGTCTTGAAAGACATCAGACCATCAGTTATCCTCTAGGTCCTTTGTTAACTGACTTGTGTTCGTTGTATGATTTGTCCTGTTTCCGCATTTTGTAGAACGTTCTCAGGTTTCTCCTGCATTTCTTCATTTTCTTGTTTCTTTTTTACTTATAAATTTAGAGATCCTCTGAAACTTACTTCCTTGCAAGTAATTTTTCTACTCAACAAAAAAAATAGCGCTCAAAGTTAGGACACTGAGTCCAGCTAGAAAATCCAGTATCGACCTTTTGAAGCACATTTTTCCTCTCTCCTTAAGTTGTCCCAGTGTTGATTATCTTCCCTACTGCTCTAAGCAGCCGTTGTGCATTTAGGAACACAGGTAAAATGTACTTCTCAATTCTGCGTATAACAGAATAATTCTAGGAACTTGAGGAGCCACGCCAAGAATACATTTGTACAAAAAGCTCTATAAAGGAATTTGGAAGTGCCTGCTAAATTATTTCTTAGTTTTCCTTGCTGAAAGACCTACCCACCTCTGCTTCTAAGTTTCTGTAAATTTATGCCTATTTAGTACAGTAGGTATTTTTGATAAAATTAAGCCTATAAAATAAATATTTAAAAAATAAAAAATGAAAAGAACAATAAAATAAATATTGTCATGTATACTGTTCCAGCACATACTGAATCTGAGCTTTCCATTAGAACAGATAGAACACAGGAGGTTCCACTTAAATTTGAGAAGAAACTTCTTCTCAGTGAGGGTGACAGAGCACTGGACCAGGCTGCCCAGAGAGGTTGTGGAGTCTCCTTCTCTGGAGACATTCAAAACCCGCCTGGACGCCTTCCTCTGTGAGCTTATCTGGGTGTTCCTGCTCCGGCAGGGGGATTGGACTGGATGAGCTTTTGAGGTCCCTTCCAATCCCTAACGTTCTGTGATTCTGTGAATGAACAGGTCTGTTTTACTGATGCTTTGAAATGTGAGGTTAAAAGCTCTACATCGTTTGCTTTAAATTTGACTTATTTTTTTCAGTACTCCTGATACGTTTGAGGCACTGTTTGTGAATTAAATTTATATTCTCATGTAGGAAAAAATTACTGTTTTTCTTGAACATGAGAAAACTGATTACTTTTTTCTGTCTTAAGAAAATGAATGATAAGAAAATGCCTCGATTATGTAAAAATTAATTACTCTCCAATTTAATTTTATGTTCGTGTAGGTAGTAGAATTAATTGACAAAGAAGATATTGACATTGGCACCAGTCAGGTTGCTGAGATTATGACACTGCTTCAAAAAGAAGAAAAACTGGAAGAAAAAGAGAAAGCAAAGGAAAAGCACGATAAAGAAGCTGCGGAAGCCAAGAATTAAGCTTCAGCATCTGAAGCTAATCCCATTGTAACCAAAACCTTGTATATCTTTCTGTGTCTAATGGCTACATAGTACTTGAGCTTTTGTGATTATGGGAAGTGTTTTGAGCTGATTCTAGTAATAAATTGTAGGTATGTTTTCTGACATATGGAATGAAATTACCGTTCATCAAAGAGGTGATTTACTGTCATTCCATACGGATGAAAACAAAAGATGCTTCTTTAGCAGTGCTCCTGCCCACAAAATTATGTATTTGCACTCATTGTTGTGGTACAGTGATCCATTAAACCTGCAGGTTTTCTGTATAAATTAAGTGTATCTATCATGGAAAAACGTTTCTCATTTATTTCCTGTCATTATTACATGGGGCCCAACCTTGCTCTGCTTCTACCTTTTTAGCTTTTTCAGAATTTAACACAAACTTTCCCTTCTGTCACAATATTACATTTTTTGCAACAAGTGAAGATTCTGTGGCTTCAATAGCAGCTCTTTAGATTGAGTTTTATTTAAGTTAAATATCACTAAGCTGTTGCCTCACTGACAGAGAATGTGGCATTCTAATCACTTACGAATTCATGATTATTTTTTTTTCTGTTGAAGGGAAAATCAGATTTATTTTTCCCTAGAATGAAAACTTCCCATGAAGTTTGCTTCTTCTGGGTGCCTTAACTTTCTTAAGACTAGGGAATAGAGGATGTCACTTCTACTCAAAATTCCATGAATTACTAAAGCATTGGAGTCACAGGAGCCTTTCACATGATTTCAGAACACGATCTGTCACACAGTAAAGTGAGTTAAAGTGTCTAAATAGGAAAATAAAAATAATCATAAGGGGGGAAAATGTCAGTTGTGAACTTCTTGCATATATTTTTTAAAAATGCCGTTATCTTTGCATGTTTGTCATTTTTCATCTGATAATTATTTACACCATAACTAGTTCTGTTACCTCTCGGTTTTCATCTCAGGTATAAGATCACTAACCCAGGTATAGTCAAAGTACACCAAGACTTTCATCTCATGGCCTTGCTTACCATGCAGTCAACAAGCCACGTCTGCTGTTGCCGGTGCTTTATTTACATCATTGGCTTTCTAATTAAATAATTATAGTTACTGTCTTTAGCTGTGTGATTTAATACTGACAGTAGGTCAAGTTTTACTTATTAGTGTCTGTCCTTAGTATTAAATTTTTAAATTTAAAAACTGAATTACCAACTGTGGGATGTTCCATAATTCCGGTAGCCTGAATTTTCCACTCTTTCTTCAAATTTGTTACGAACTGCACATACTGTGACTTGAACCAGCAGGGTTGTGGTTTATTTTATTTTTATTTTGCACCCAATATTATAAAATCTGTGACCATCTTTGATTTTGTGTGCACTGTAGAGAGCACATCATACAGCGGCACTGTACACAGTGATATTGAGGTGGGCAGTTAGTACTTTAAGCTTTTAAGTCATAGTTGCATATTTTTGTAAGAAATGTTGACTCCCAAGCATATTTCAGCATAATTCCATGTTCAATATTTATATAGATTGGGTAAATTATTTGGAAAAACTCATTTGAAGTTAGTGGAACAAAAGAAGTTTTGAGCATCTCATGGCTTGCATGATGGACCATTGTATTTAGTTGTTTCCAAAGCAGAATGTACAATAAGATGTACAGTACAATTAATTCTAGAAAAAGGGTCAGTGCTTAGCTTAAATATTGAGTTAATATTCTGTACAGTTTGCGAAGAAAACTTCTTACAGTGAGAACCTCCTGAGAATTATTGTCATTTTAAGTGTAAAATTGCCGTGACAAAGCTGAAATTTCAGATTAGTGTGGGCTTGCGGTTAGTGTGCCTCTAAACAAAGGGGCTGTTCTCCTCCTTGTAAATGGAGATTAACTTGGAGATTTCAGCATGAAAGTCAGTTTGTAGATTTTGAAGATAGGACTTCACTAGGTGCTTTTTTAGGCCAAAACTTATCTTAGATAAAAACGCGAGAGTAAAACTAATTTCATGGAAATACAGTTTTAAAACTCATTTTACATTGTATAATTTACGAGTAGAATTAATGGGCTTTGAAGTACACACAATCTTGCAGTTGCATATCTTCAACTTGAAAACAGTATATAACAGTTTTACTTGACATTCCTGAAGCGTGGTAAAGATACTTTAAAATTGTCTGCTACCTTTCATGGAATATCAGAAACCTAAGAATTGTGTGCACCTGAATGCTGCATGCAAGTTTATAACAGGGAAGTAGCAGGAAAAGCTGTTTTCAAAGATTTATTGATTAAAGTTTTACAGAGCTTTAACTGTCCTTACAGTAAATTATCTGATTGTAGTATTTGGGAGTTTAAGACACTTTGCTGCTGTTCTTTTTCTGTGTTTACTGTTTGCTTAAATTTGCTGTGGATTAAATAAGAAGGGAGCCAAAAGTAGCTGATTTTTTTTTTAAATGAAGAATGTCCTGAATAAAACAATTGTGATGTATTTATTGAACATTTTTAGCTTTTGGACTTGTTTGAAATTTGACATATGGTGAAATTTGAACAGGTTACATCAGACACTTAAACGTCAACCACAAATGCCAGTTTTCCCCTGTTACTGAAAGCATTTAGAGGATGTATGCATCAACCATAGCGGGGGGGATATTTTCCTTCTGATGTTGAAAGCAGGCAAACCCGTGACTACACTTGACCAACACACGTTCTGCAGGCTTAAAAATTTAGGAAGCCCTCGATGATTCCCATTTTCCCAGTTTTGGACCTTCCTGAGCAGCTCTGTCTGGGTGATACAGACAACCCCAGCAAATTGGTGACTTCAGGTAATGCCCTTCGTTGTCTTTTGTGTTGACCAAAAACCCAGAAGCTGCAGTACTTTCAGAGAAAGGACGACTTCCGAGTGTACAGTAACTGGTCAGAACTTATTCCTGAGTGAATATTTAATCAGGAGATGTAAATATTTGTTTAAATAATTAAAAAGGTGTATGAGATTTCGGTGACCTTGTGACTTACACAGGCAAAGCCTCTAAGCTCTGATTTAGGTAACTGGTAAGGCTGTTGTTGGCATTGTTTCAGATTCAAGTAAGATCAGATCTTGATTATGAACTATTCAGGGGAAAAGTGTAAAACCTATAAAAAGCTTTTTAAAAAAATGAATTTAGCAACAGGGACGACAAGTAAAGTAAGATGTCATTTCTATTTCCCCTTCAAAACAAGCAGGTTATAGGACCTATTTTATTGGAAAAAAATAGTTTCCATTTCATGTTAGCTCAAAAGATGCCTTTTGCTGAGATTTTCATCGCTGACTGCATACTGGGAGAGTGAATCTGCCTGCAAGTCACTTACCAGGATGCTAATTCAATAGGTGGTTCATCTGCAGGACTGCACGCAGGTAGAGAATTCTCTCTTGACACTCACGTAGGCTTTGGGGAAAAGGTTACATCTTTTATACAACTCCAAAATACTTCTTGTAACTTTATATCTACATACCTTGCTAATAATTGAAAACTTAGCTACTTCAGCATGTATTTAAATACTTTTAAATTGTTTATATCAAATTGCTGGGTATATTTAATTGAAAGAATAATCCCATATCTGGTCTTTGTATGTATTCCGAGATTTGCTTTTCAGTTGAAGAATTTCAGCCCGTGTTACAAACTTAAGTTGAAAATTCTTTGTCTGTGCTCTGAGCATACTGGTCCTGTGTTTGCCATTATGCAGTATAAAACTTTTAAGTTAATTGGAGCTGATGTCCTCTGTTTAGTTGTAATAAATGTATCATTTTGAAACCTAAGCTCTCCATTAGTTTTCTGTTACTTTTAGGTATTCAGTGTTAATTTCTTGCTGTTCAAATGAGGTGCCTGTCGCAGAGCTGAACAGTGATGAGCTGAGTGCTATCACTGAAATGTGCTGACAAAAGTTGCCTGCTGCCTGCTTTCAGATAGGATTTGAGAACGTGCAAACATTGAATTTACTTTCGAGTGTCAAAGTATTTCAGGAGAGGTCTGAAAACAGCCTCCTGCCTTGAGATGCTTCTAAAATAATAGATAAGATAGGTTGGGTTTTCCTTTTTTTGCTTAAAGCCAATAATCAAATAAATAGCTTAAAAAGTGGCAGAACTTGTTAGTTTTAAGCTTTTGCTTTTAAAATTCCCTTTAATGCCAGACTTATTTAGGGTGCGTAGGACTGTTGTGTGACAACAGCCTAGCAGAGAAATTGTGGTTTGAATTTGTAAATTAAATGTGGACAGTGGCATTTGGTCATAGTTACCCATGTCCTGCAAGCTCAGGGAAGAGGCTGACTTCTGGATCCACTGTTGCCTTTGCTGAGATATATTGGTTACGTCAAAGAAATTAGGCTCTTTTCTAAATTTTTATTATATATTTATAACAACTTTGTCTAGTTATTGTTACAGTCTAAAGAAAAGATGGGGGTTCTTGGACTCTTGCCTTGATCTGAGTTTGTGCGTTGTCCCCAGAAATATACTGAGGGAATGGTAACAGACTCCACTAATTAGAAATAACAGATAACAGAGACATTGCTGTAACTCCACTGGTGGAGCTGTCTTTCACATCGTTGCACATCAATACAGGTGTGCAGGCAGCTGGTTGGAAAAACCTCCTGACTGCATGAAATCACGTCTTAGAAGTATCACTCCAGAAGGAGTTTTGTTGCACGCTATTTTGGTGAGGTGCCATTGAAAGGCTGAATGCATATACAGACAAGCGGGGAGGAGATGGCTGGGTCTGGGGTTGTTTGTTCAACCTGAGGCTTGAGAAATCAGTGTTCATGTCATGCCTGTTTCAATAACGCATCAGTGGCTCTAGTGCCACTGTCACACAAAACCTCCCTGACGGTGGCTGGGCAGACGACAGCTTCTCCAGAGCAGAGTCTCTTCCTGCAAGAACCCAGTGCAGTATTTTGTAGTGATAAGGCTTTTAAACAGCAACTGCAGACGGTGACAGAGCGTACCAAACAGTTTCTCTGGCTGACGAATCTTACTTTTCTCGCTGCTTATGCATTCAGAAGTGTTTCTGGTATTTTCTTGAATTACTTCTCAACTCTGATGTGAACAGGAGGATGTCTGTAGTGTTTCTAAATCCCTGTACTCTGTGCTCACTTCCATTTTTGTGTATTATTGGATATAAATCTTTCTC